ATTCTTTTCGATGGCAGTGCGATGGCCCAGGCTGCCACCCCATCACCCTGTGGGGCAGCAAGATGATGTGGCCTCCGGAAGAGTAAGGAATAGTGTGACAGTCCATGTGGCCTCCTCCATCATCAACAGAATCGTCCATGTGGCCCCATCCATTACCCTGAGGGACAGTGAGATGGTCCATCCAGTCGCCTTTATCAAGCCTTTGAGAGGCAAAGGGACAACCCTTGTATTTTCTTCCATCACCCTTAAGGAACAGCAGGATGGTCCATGTGGCCTCCTGTATAGCCATGGAGGGCTGCAGGATTGTCCATGCAGTCACCTTCATCACCCTGAGAGGCCCCATCCATTACCCTGAGGGACAGTGAGATGGTCCATCCAATCGCCTTTATCAAGGCTTTGAGAGGCAAAGGGACAACCCTTGCATCTTCTTCCATCACCCTTAAGGAACAGCAGGATGGTCCATGTGGCCTCCTCTATAACCATGAGGAGCTCCAGAACTGTCCATGCAGTCAACTTCATCACACCTGAGAGGCAAAGGGATGACCCTTGCAGCTACCTCCATCACTCTGAAGGGCAGCAGGATGGTCCATGCAGCCTCCTCCATCACCCTGAAGGGCAGTGAGATGACCAATGTAGCCTCTGCCAGCATCCTGAGGGGCAACCGGATGGTCAATGAGGCCTCCTCCATTACCCTGAGGTACAACTTTCTTTGTTGCCTCCTCTATCACCCTGAAGGGCAAAGGGACGATCAACACAGCCTATTCCATCACCCTGATGGGCAATGGGATGGTCAGTTCTGCCTTCACCATCTATCTCAGGGGCGTCAAGATGGTCCATGTAGCTTACCTTGAGGAATAGCGGAATGGGAAGTGCTGCCTTCTCCATCACCATGAGGGGCAGCAGAATGGTCCATGTAGCCTCCTTCATCACCCTGATTGGCAGTGGGATGGGCAATGTGGCCTCCTCCACGACCCTGAGGGGCAACCGGGTGATCCATGAGGCCTCCTACATTACGCTGAAGTACAGCCAGACTTTTTGTAGTGTCTTCTATCACCCTGAAGGGCAAAGACATAGTCAACACAGCCTACTCCATCACCCTGAGGGGCAGCTGGATGGTCAGTTATGCCTTCTCCATCTACCTGAGGGGCAGCAAGACGGTCCATTTGGCTTCCTCCATCACCCTGAGGGGCAGTGGGACTTTGCACCATCCTCCATTGGCCTGAGGCTAGATTTTCACCTTTGGTGATAGTTGTAGGGGCAAGGTTAGGTGAACTTCTTTAGACCAGCAGGGGAGAACTCAGGGGCAGGGCTGACAAAACTGCTTGTGATTTCAGTGCAGCACAGGTAAGGTTGTCACTGCTGTACAGGGATTTGAGTTTAGTGGACTGGCAGGGTCACCAAGTTTTTTTTTTTTTTTTTTTGCAACATTTAAAGAGACAATACATGCAGAAATGTGCAGGTATTGCAATGAATGTGTTTTTTTTTAATTCCTTTATTGGCTATACATATACTTCCATGAGCAGTTTGTATAGGTATGATGTATTAACTAATACATTCAGGGAGTTCAGGAATCAATTTCAGGATCATCAAAGGTTCTTATAGGCAAGTGCCAAAATTTGGCTGTTATTATTCTGAACACATTAATGTCCTTGACAGGTTGACTTTAAACAGGAAAAAAATATTTTGATTGTTCCCGTACAGTACACGTTTTTGTCCTATTGTAATGTATAAACATTTTAAAATAGGATTAAAAAAATTTCCAGCAGAAAGTTAAACATCTGAACCTGGGCTGGATGACATTTCAGATCCCTCAGAGTGACCTCATATTTATTTATCTTGGATACAATTTTCTGACCATGACCCACTTTCATTTTGGCAAGGCAGCCGTAATGATCTTGGAAACTTGGTTTGTTTTGAACAGCTGAAGAAAAACATGACTCAGATCTGGCCCTTTCCTCCTGCGAAGTGGACCTCCTGCCATCGCCCTGCCAGAACGGAACGTGCGGTCACGCTGTCCTCTATTACACGGCGGTCATAGACTTTGTGACGGATGGGAACAAAGTGACCAGCATTGCAGCAGATCCTATAGACAGCGCCAACTTTCTGTGGAGCGGCTACGTCCCAGATGTCATACAGGTGCTACAACTGGGAGTTATTGGGAGGGGGGGGGTTATGCATACAGATAGCAAGGAAAATATATTAATGCAGTTCTATGTTAATGTCTTTGTTGTGTTAGCATAAAAATTGCATTGTTGTAATGTCTGTCAATTATTTTGTAACAAAATGTTTGCAAACCAGGGCTTCTATGGGGTAGGGTTGGGGACCAACTAAAAAGTATAACCCAGAAGGGTATGGTGAGATGGGGCTAAAGCCTTCCAACCAGATGAGAGTGTAGCACAATTAGTCCTCATTTGGACTTGCAATTGGGGTGTGTTAAAGCCACATTTTTAGCACCCCCAACAGCAGCTCCCTAGGCTGCAAAGCCTACATAGTTTCTGGATTACAAAAAAGTTAACAAAAGTTAGGCCCTTTTTACATGGTACAATAAAAACAAGTAGTTAACCCATGACTATACCACCTCCCAACTGGCCACCCAAAGCCTACCATACAGCTGGAGGGGGCTGTTCACATGCCACCCATGGCAACTTTAATGTGGCACGTTGAGTCGACAGGAGGCGCACCTTCTGTCAATAGGTCTGTGTGGCTAAGTGGTCCCATTGAAAGTTGCCATTCTGCAAAAAAAAAAGGTAGGTAGCAGGATCCCCTCCTCAATGACTGATAGCAGATGCTTGACTCCACTTTGAAAATCCATCAACCACAGATTGCTTAAAGGAAAGAACAAGTGTGAACTTAGTCTTAGATAGAACCCAAAAAATACATCCAAAAATATTGAAGAAAATCACAAATTTCTGTAGGCATGCCAAGGATTAGAAGGTGCTACAGCTGAGAGTTAAGGGGGGGGGGGAAGCATACAGATAGGAATTTATATTAGTTCCGTATCGATATTTGTGTTGTATTAGCAAAAAAATTGAATTGCTGTCATTTTTTTGTAATGAAATGTTTGCTTAGATTACAGTGAAGGACGTTCCAGGGGCTTACTGCTACTCGTTCACCGATCCCCATATTGTTACCTTTGATGGCAGGTCAGAAGATATCAAAAAATCCAATAAAAATGTTTTACAATAATATTTACATAAATAGTCACGCAAACCAAATCCCCACATACACACACCATCGTATTCATACTATATATACACACAATCACACATAAAGAAAAAATACAAGCAATCACAAACACAAAAAGTGAAGAAGTCATTTTCCAATGCAAAGTTTTCTACAACTCATTGGGAGTGAATGATTTAAAAATATATATTTTTGTTGTTTATATAATTGAAAATCTGGGTTTAAGGCTAAGGAGATCTTTAGATTAAGAGAGGGTAAGGATGAAGTTAGAGTTAGATGTATTTTAATGGTAAAGTACAGTATCAATACACCCAAAAGTATATTTTAGTTCAAGGTTGACCTTGGCGGGCTGAGTCAGTCCCTCTCTGCCATAAATTCCAACTTGGGAGAATTGAAATTGATGCACCACACCACTGCTAAGAGGTCCAGATACAACTTTATTCCATTAAAGGTCGGAAGTAGCCCACACGTTTTGGGGGGGGGGGGGTGTAAGTGTCCCCTTCATCAGGGCTTGACTGTAAGGGATTTCCGGCAAGACGAATTGTGAATAGAAGTGTGCATGCGCATAAGAATGTCCGGAGAAGAGTGGTCGGTTGTGCGCATACGCGTGCACACGCACGGCGAAGATTGGCACCACACGGGCTATTTAAAGAGTGTCTCTGCCCATGTTAGTTGCTGACTGGTCTTCAGCTCCCCCCTGTCCTGCTTGTTCCCGTGTGATTCCTTTGTTGCTGACCCAGCTTGTTCCTGACCTGACTCTGATTGCTCTCCTGATTGATACTGGTTCCTGACTTTGGCTCTGCTCCTGACCTTGGCTTTTCCTTCTGATTCTGTACCGTGCTGCCCAACTGTTGATGACCCTGGCTATTCCCATGACACTGCTCCTGTCTCGTACTCTCACTACCTGCCTTGCTCTGGTGCACGCCTGGCAATCTACAAGACCTGCTCTGCTTGTTACTACTGTGCCTGAATCAGAGGATCATCAGCCTTCCAAGGTCATCATCTGCAAGAGCTGCAAACAACAACTACTGGTGCTCTTGTCCCCCCTGGTCCCTAGACTCCCTCTGTTCCAACTACAGTGGGGTCAGGGCTAGTGACACAAGTGAGGGCGACCTCGTCATTTCAGTCTCCCATCAGGTACATGACATTGACTGGCAACAAACTGAACAGACCAGAAGTGAACTGGACCTACAATGGTATTTATTCCAGTGTGAATTAAAGCCAAAGGCCTGATCAGCAGCTTGTTTAGCAGCTAAAATAATTTCCAACTTTGAAGTTTTGAGTGTGCCCCGGCCACTTTGGGTATCCCAGCTCCTTCTGTTTCATCCTCCATGATATAAAATAAATAAACAATTCCGCATGAATGGTGTGCAAGAGGGTCTTTGTGGTTGGCTAGTTTTGGCGCCCAAGTGCAAGGCCCTACCCCCAATACAGCCTTGCTAGAACACAGTCCCACCCACTGAGGCCGAAACCTCAGCCATCTTGTGCCCTGCTGCTCACCATAGGCCTCCTCACTACATTCCTGAAAATATACCAAACTTACATATGAGAGCTGACTCACCCCTGGCATCACTTGTGGGAGGGCTCTACCTAAAAGGGGCCTAACACCAAGTGTCACAAACTGTTGTACCCTTCTGTTACAGAGCCATCTAGTGGAAGAGTGACTAACTGCACCTGCCTACAGGTGGGAGCCTCTTTTAATGGGAACATCAGGTGTGTAGACCCAGGAACAAAATAGATTTGTCCATTCACACTGTTTAGCTTTGGTTTGGGTCACACTTACAAGGGTAACCGAGTGTGGACACGTTTCCCTGTGTTGCGTGAAGGGCAGCCCATTCATTTCATTGGGCTACCCCATGCACAAGAAAAATGAAAGAGAGGTCCCTGACGTCCAAAAATGTGCCACACTCAAGCGAATGATGCTGTGGCACCATGCAGTTTGAGGCGCCTGAAAACAAGTTCGTTTGGCAGATGCATGGGGGTGCTGTTACCAGTTAATACCAACGCTGCGCCTTTGTTCATTTCTCTGCATGTCAGGTAAGCGCACATTTTTGTGCCAACTTTAGTTAGTTTTTTACCATTTTATCTTGAACCTTCTTAAGCCTAGTACACACGATCAGAAAATTGTATGCAAAATACCGCTATCGAAGCGACCGTATAATAATCTGATCATTAGTACACAGCAATCGGCCAAAATTATTTGAAGGGACAAGCACGAAAATGTTTTTTGTTCGATTCCAGATCATACGATTTTCGTTTAATCAGCACAGTTTTCATCTGCAAATACAATACAAATACATTTACATTACATCACTTCCAAATTTTTATTCTGTCATGCAAGAATTTTCATAAATTTAGTAACCGCTTCACTTTGGATATGAGACTTTCTTGCAAAAAAAAGCGAACAATCATTTGTTCGATATTCTCATCATGTTGTAGCACTACTCCTTAGCAGTCACTGAGTTTTGGGTCCTTCTATAATCCTGCACAGCCAAGCAACATGCATTTTCTTCAAACCTTACACACTGGAGACAGTAAACAGTCCTTGAGCTTGTGTTTTTTTTTTGTTTTATTAAGGGGTATTGAGCTTGGATGGGGTTGAGGGGTGTATGGGCTGCCCAAGGAAACTGCAACGTGAGAACAAACCCCTTAGCAACTATGTACAAGTCCACAGACAAAGATTCTTTTCTTGGGGAGTTCTCCAGCCCTCCCAATGTACCACCTCAGACCCCAGATATATTCTCCTCTTCACCCAGCTGCCTGAGGGAATCCCTGAGCAAGGGGAACCAGAAACTGACACTTTAGCTGAGCAGCTCCAGATGAGGTGCTAGTTGGGTTGGCCACCTGACTGCCCTCTCCCCTTATCCCTGGGTGTGGGATTACTGACTCCTCTTCTGCAGGCTTGTACATTGGTGGCTGCCATCAGGCCTTATACTGAGCTGGCTCCTGCCCTGCTTCCCAGGCTGTCCTCTCTCAGGGGATGAATGAGGTTGAGAGATTCTCCCTCCCAGCTCCTGCCTGTAGGTAGACTTCTCTCCTGGGATCCCTCCCAGGCTCTACACTCCAGTCTTTACTCCATTTTCCACCCAGCTCTACTCCCTGCTGATCATGCTCTCTCATATTTAGGGCTATCCTGGCCCCATGCCAAGCCTCTTGCGTAAGGATTGGCCAAAATCCCCCAAGTATGCAGATCACCACCTCCTCACCCCCACCCACTGCCTTCTAGACACTTCTTAAGTTTCCAGAGCAGGGGGAGGTATCATGGAACTGATCTGCAGAGCCCTCAGCTCTAAGCTAAACATTGCCAGGCTGAATCGTCCCAGGCTAACGCACACCAGGCTGCTATTCAGCCTCTAACTGAAAAACATAGCTAGCTCCCCCTAGCCAACTAGAGGGGTGCTACAGTGTGTAAGGGGCTTTAGCACTGATTTTGATGCACCAAAGGTATTGCACACACATCAATCTATCAAACGTTATCTTATCCATCAATCTATAATCCTTACAGAAATATTTCTTAGTAATCATTAAAATGTGTCTTTTGCAGATACTATGACAACTTTGACACTGGAACCTTTGTCCTGTATAAGAGCACCTCCCGCGACTTTGAAGTTCATGTGCGCCAGTGGGACTGCGGGAGTGTTGACCACCCAGCGTCCTGTAACTGCGGCTTTGTAGCCAGGGAAGGGGGTGATACGATCACCTTTGATATGTGTAGCGGACAACTTCATGAATCCCAACCGCATCTCTCCGTGAAGAGTCAGGAATCTACAGAGACGGGATTTCGGATTACAGAGTCTTACCTTGGAAGAAAGATCACGGTAGGTGTCACCACTTTATGAACTCAAAATATATTTCACCATTCCTAGTGTTGACCTGATATTAACAGGCAATCCCTGTACTGCAGTGCTCAGATTGGCAGCACAAGGAAGCAGTCAACTACGCTGCAGTTCTTATGTGCTACCCAGGAGCATGCTGATAGGAGGAGAGAGCAGAGTGACAGAGAGATGAACTAATCAGTCTGCTACTTCTCTGTTCGCTGTCCAGTCACAGAACACAAGACCTGTAAGTGTGACCCAACTGCAACAGAGAAAAATCATGTTTCCTGACCTACCAGACAGGGCTGTGGTGAGTGGCAGAGCTGTGTAAATTGCAGGACTGGATGGACAGAAATATAAATCCTCTGGCATGCAAAACAGCTCCCATATATGCATTTCATCTGCGCATTAAGCTGTTTGCCTGGAGTTCAGCTGGAGTCAAGAACCTTCATACCGCACGATAGCAAATCCAGTTGCTGCACCACCCCAGTGCTTCTAATGTTGCTATAAGAAAATGAAAATGACTGTAACTTTCACTCCCACATGTTCTGTACGGTGAAATAACTTTTTTTGCTTCTGTCCTCTTTAATATGTACATATTCCTTGAAAGACATGAAATACTAATGTGATTTATTACTCTTGGCTGGAGGGGGGGGGGTAGTAGCACTTTGAAATGTGATTCACGTCGTCCCCCCTTGAAGCGGTTAATTCTTTTGCCTGTGGGAAAGTTTAAATATTGTAGCCAGAAAACAGATGTGTTCGGGATGTCGCAGTGCACTCTCAGGAGGCTCTTCAAGAGGAACTCCATAGAGTCCTGAACGATGTACTGGCTTACACAACATGACAGCAACCAATCAGATTGCTCGGATTGGGTTGCTACACTTTACATCGCCCTTTTGAATGAGCATCGCAACCTTAGCGGTTTGCAATTGTTGTGGAGCTGCCATGAACTACTTGTCCAAGCAAGCTTTGGTGTTCCCAAGCTGACGAGGTTTTTTGGGATTTGTAGTGGCACCCCAGAAAGGGATTTGTAAGCTGCAAAAGAATTGCTTGGCATACAGAGGAGAAATGGGAAATTGTCAGTTTCAGTTTTCCTTTTGTTATATCACAAAATCCACTCTTGGACTGAATCGACTCATTGTGTATTATTCGCTGCCAATATTTTAATACCGCTGCAAGTTTCTAACAGGGGGGGGACACATATATATACAGTTTCCATCCAGATGCATTGACATATAATTTTGAAAAGTTACATCTGGTTGCACTGCGTTGAGTGTCTGATGGGCGGTCAAGGATACTTAGTGGATTAGTAATGGTGCAAATTACAAGCAATCTGTAAACTGTATGTTAAAGCCTTGGAGAAATTCCAGGATTTATGTGCTGTATAGAAAGGATTCTTCTGACCTTTATATGTAAGGCCTCATGTATTTATTTATTTCAGGTACTTATATAGCTTTGCCAATTTATGCAGCACTATACATATATATTGTACATTCACATCAGTCCCTAACTCTCAAGGGGCGTACAATCTAAGGTCCCTTACTCACATACTAGGGCCAATTAAGTCAGGAACCAACTCACCTACCAGCATGTCTTTGAAGTGTGGGAGGAACCCAGAGTAAATCCATGCAGGAACAGGGAGAACATGCAAAATCCAGGCAGGTGGTGCCATAGCTGGGATTTGAACCAATGACGCTAATACTGCTAGGTGGAAGTGCTAACCATTTAGCCACTGTGCTGCCCAATACACTGCTGTCATGTTTAGGAATTTTTGGCCAAGGCCCCTGGATTCAACTCAATAAAAGCTTATATGTCCATGTACAGTGAGAAACAGAAGAATTTGAACACCCTGTGATTTTGCAAGTTCTCCCACTTAGAAATCATGGAGGGGTCTGAAATTCATTGTAGGTGCATTCCCACTCTGAGAGACAGAATGAAAAAAAAAATTCAGGAAATCACATTGTATGATTTGTAAAGAATGTATTTGTCTTGCACTGCTGAACAGAAGTATTTGAACACCTGAGAAAATCAGTGTTAATATTTGGTACAGAAGCCTTTGTTTGCAATTACAGAGGTCAAACGTTTCCTGTAGTCCTTGACCAGGTTTGCACTGCAACAGGGATTTTGGCCCACTCCTCCACACAGACCTCCTCTAGATCCGTCAGGTTTCGGGGGTGTCGCTGAGCAACACGGAGTTTCAGCTCCCTCTATTGAATTTAGGTCTGGAGACTGGCTAGACCACTCCAGAACCTTGATATGCTTCTTACGGAACCACTCCTTGGTTATCCTGGCTCTGTGCTTCGGGTCGTTGTCATGTTGGAAGATCCAGCCACAACCCATCTTCAATGCTCTGACTGAGGGAAGGAGGTTGTGCCTCAAAATCTCACAATAAATGGCCCCATTCATCCTCTCCTTAATACAGTGCAGTCGTCCTGTCCCCTTCGCAGAAAAGCACCCCCAAAGCATGATGTTACCACCCCCATGCTTCACAGTAGGGATGGTGTTCTTGGGATGCAACTCAACCTTCTTTTTCCTCCAAACAGCACGAGTGAAGTTTAGACCAAAAAGTTCTACTTTGGTCTCATCTGACCACATGACTTTCTCCCATGCCTCCTCTGGATCATCCAGGTGGTCATTGGCAAACTTCAGACGGGCCTGGACATGTGATGACTTGAGCAGGGGAACCTTCCGTGCAATGCATGATTTGAAACCATGACGGCGTAGTGTTCTACCAACAGTGACCTTTGAAACTGTGGTCCCAGCTCTCTTCATGTCATTGACCAGCTCCTCCCTTGTAGTTCTGGGCTGATTCCTCACCTTTCTTATCATCAGTGATACCCCACGAGGTGAGATCTTGCATGGAGCCCCAGTCCGAGGGAGACTGACAGTTGTCTTTAGTCTTTTCCATTTTCTAACAATTGCTCCAACAGTTGATCTATTTCACCAAGCTGCTTGGCAATTGCCCCGTAGTCCTTTCCAGCCTTGTGGAGGTCCACAATTTTGTCTCTGGTGTCTTTTGACAGCTCTTTGATCTTGCCCATGGTAGTAGTTGGCGTCTGACTGACTGTGGGGAGGTCAGATGTCTTTAAAGAGCTCAGACAGGTGCTACTAAGTTAGATTAATGAGTGGAGTAGAGGTGGACTTTTTAAAGGCACAGTAACAGGTCTTT